GATATTTAAAAATAATCCTGTTCACAAAGAAGAAATTTGTAAAAAATAATGAAAAAATAATATTTATTCTAATATTGATTCATCATTTTCTACAAGCAAAAAAATATTAAGAAAAGCAATAAAAAAGCCTTACCTGTATGAATACAATAAAAAGAGAGTGAGCGCGACAGCAGAGCAGACGATCAATGGCTCTCTGTATCTCAGTTACTCTTACAGGTACTGCCATATCACAATAATGTAATAATGTGCCTTACTAAAACAAGGCTATATGTACTCTTTGACAATGAAAGCCTTATAAATAAATACACTACGTTATTAGATATTTATTTTTGAAAAAAAAAATATGTGTACATATGTAATGTATATGCTATATATACAGTACATATTTTTAATGTTAACTTATATATATACACGTACATTTCTATACAGCAATTTAGACGGATAATACACGTAGTTTACACAGAAAAGCTATATATACACGACGATATAAATATAGGTACCCTATATCCATACACACACACACTTATATATATATAAGCTCTACTGCGTATATATATATATATAGAGGGAGAGAGAGAGAGAGAGAGAGAGAGAACGACGCTCCAGTGCACAGTAGGCCCAAACTGTTTTTTTTGTTCAAAATTATCTAGAGACCACAACTTTTGACCTATTTGGATGATTTTTTTTTTATTTTCAAGGTGAGATGATTTACAAGACATCTGTAGAAGCCAATTTTAAATTTCCGACTTTAAATTTGATTGACCTAACCTCAAATGTTAAAAACGAGCAAAAACTGCTAAAAAACAGAATTATTCCAAAGGATAAGTCTCATTTTATGGAATGAAATTGGGCAATAATGAATTTACATTATACTCTAAGATATCTTATGACAAATGCATTCCGTAAAATGAGACTTATCCATTGAAATAATTATGTTTTTTAGCAGGTTTTACTAATTTCTAACATTTGAGGTTAGGTCAATCAAATTTAAAGTCGGAATTCTAAAATTGGCCTCAACAGATGTGTTGTAAACTATGTCACCTTGGAAATGAATAAAAAATCTTCTAAATAGGTCAAAAATTGTGGTCTCTAGATAACTTTGAACAAAAAAAGTTAGTTTGGGCCCACTGGGCAGTGGTGGGGTGAACAGCAACTGAGGAGCGGACCAGCCTTTCGTTGCATATTTCTCCTCACGCAGCTGTTCACTGCCCACCATAAGATGTTTTACATCAAAGTCAAAAAATTCTGAAAATACAAGGCAATTTATAAAATTCCACATTTTTGGGTCCGTTCCTACCTTGAGAAAAGGCTATTAATGTATTCATGACGTTACGTCACCCTCGATCAGTAGAAAGCGTTTTGCGGTCCACCGGATACAGTTCAATTTTTGGCATTTTCAACAAAAACGGCATCAAAAAGTTCTACAAAAAAAACTTAGAATAAAAATCAGAAATCTAAATTAAGAAAATAGTTCCATGAAAAACACTGACTATGCTTCTTTTTGACAGTAGGACAGCTTTTTACGCAGTTTTCAATTTCAGATAACATTTGAGGTGATGAATGTATAAAAAGATTATGAAAGTTATTTATTTTGTTTCTATAAAAAAAATTCTTGTTTACATTATTTTATTAAATATGAGATAAAAATGATTATCCTTCAACACTTATGGGTGATTCTGCCGTAAGTGGCCCACTTCGTGTCCAGAGCTCATGCTACTACAAAAAACTAAAATTAAATATCCGAATTTCGTGAAGTCCCATTAAAAATGTAAGACTTTCTTGACAAAAACTTTCAAGATGATATCATGACTCCAAAATGAGAAAATTAAAAAAACATAGTCTTAATGTCACTTCTGCGCCCTTCCCAATCGCACCTGAATTTCGCACCTAAAATCTCCTGATATAAAATTAAAAGTTTTTCTGCCATATATTTGCACATGCGTTATTAAATATCGATGTCGTATGTTGTACGTATGCCATAATAACATCAATGTTTAATCTATAAGTAAGAGTTTTCCTCAAATACTACTACGATTTGAATTGAAATGTCGATGATAGCGGAAATCGCTTTGAAAACCAAACTATAATACTTAAACGTTAAAGTGATTACTCTTTTAATCTTACATTATAACAAGAAAAACACACAAAGCTGTCAAAGATTTTAACCCCTCTAATTGATGCAATTTAATTTTCCATTTTTGTGTGCACAAAAATTTTGATAATTTCCACCCCCCTCTAGACCCAGCACTCCGTTACTTATACACGTAAATAAAGTTTTTTTTCTTGTATTATTTATTGACAACAGATGTTTTGTAAACGGAAAATCGTTTGTGTTGAGTCTGCTAGCCACAATGGTACTCCAAAGCTTGAAATATCACTTCCGTATTCCTTAATGGTAAAAGTGTCTCTTTTTCTAGCTTTTGTGCATCGGGACTTTATGAAAGTTTTTTTAGTATTGTTGGGCTGAAAAATAAGACCTATGTCTCAGCGTTTGGTCTTATTGGTCGTTTTTCATAAAATATATCGATGAAGATCGATTCCACTCCTACTCAATTTCATTGTGAGCCATTTCTGTCGCTTATTTTTAAACAGCTATAATTTTTTAATAGGGGGATAAGATAGAACAAAATTTTTATTTAATTGATAGGGTTTAATCCTAGATTTTATTTCAATTGGGTTAAAAAACTTTAACTCTACAAGCAGCTTATCTATATCTATAAGAAGAAGACATTTTTCTTATTTTTTCGAAAATTGACTAAAATTGACTTATACAAAATATATATATCTTTTGACCCAAAAAATTTGTAGTAGAATCACTAAAAATATTTGTTTTGGATGGTATTTGAGGTAGATTTACTGTGAAAAATAATATTTNCATTAGGTAGCTTACTTTTATTAATTTTTTTTTTAAACGATTCTGTAAGGCATTTTTGCTACTTTCGGCAGAATGACCCGTATATGTAGTTCAATGTATCTTTAGTTAAATAACAATAACAAAAATATTTTTAAGATGATATGTGAGCAAACTAATAAAATTTGTTAAAAAAAAATGTTAACTGTTTGTAAAACGCCTTTTCATTCGATTATGTCATGCATTTTCTGAAGAAGTTGCTGACGAAGAGTTTTTGTGATAAATTTTTGCTCGAATAGTATAAATAATGCACACATAGGTCACCTGTGCTTTTATGGCATATGTGGTACGCCTAGTTATCCTGTATATACATATATGTACATTAAAATAAATATTTGTACAGTGAAATGTCCCTGAGGATGGTGATGGTATATATTACCCAAATATTGAACACATGTAAATTTATCTTAATAAATAGTTTTGCTCTAAACAACCACTGTCGCATTCACATTTAGAGTAAAATATTAATGGATCAACAAAAACTGTGACATTCACTTCTCACAACAGATAAACTTACTTTTTTAACTGTAAAATTTTAAGGTATTTGAAAGGAGATGCAAGAACGTATTACAACAAAGATCATGGTCAAAGATACATTCGATAGCTTAGATCTATACTTAAAGTAATTTTCATGTTCTCATGACGAACTGTATACAACATAATCGCAAAAAAAGATAACATTTTTTTACAAATTTAACGTGAAATTAATTCAGACTCATTTATTTCCACACTCATTTACCAATCTTTTCACTAATATTATACTTATCATATTATGGACACTGTGGGAATTTTTTTGGTAAAACACCTTGCCAGCTGAGCTAGCACCCTCTGCACCAACGGCGCATTGGGTCCATTTTTCACTGTGTAGCCTTTTTTCGGAAAAGACCCCACATTTCACGACGTCTACTCCTTGCTGATTAAGCCAGTCCTCTCTGCCAAAGCATCGGATCCAGACCAATAAGGATTCCTGAACACGTCAGGAGTTTTATAAAAACTACTTCCAGTAAAAACTGTTTTTGAAAAAATTTGCATTTATCGGAAATCGAACCCACAATCCCTAGAACAATGTTAAATAGCACCAAGGGTGAACAGCAACTGAGGAGCGGACCAGCCTTTTCGTTGCATATTTACCCTCACGCGGTTGTTCACTGCTCGCCGTAAGATGTTTCACATCAAAAATATTTTTATCACGTGATAATCATCCCACTTCTGATATAAAAACTGTAACGTAAGGTTCTATGGCCTCGAGATGCTTACAAAATAACTAGTAAGGAGAATGTAAATACATGTTACAAAATATAATACATGTATATGAATAAATGTTCCTTTTTAATAAGATGAATATTACTTATAATGTTATTTTGTTAGTAATGATCATATTTGATATTGTTGTAATAAAGGTAGGTTCTCTTGTGCCTTACATTTTTTTTTTCTTACATTGGATGCTTATGATTTTGCTGGAGTTNTAAAATTGAAAATTGTAATATGGTATCATAATAATAACGTCAAATTCTTATAACATTGCAATCATATAGCTGGGGTTCAAGCCTTTTAATGACTGCATGAAAAAGAGTAACGCACAGAAATTTTTCTGTTTTAACCACTTTAATCCGATGGGAAATTACGCTTTTCAGCTCACCAATCAAGTTTAAAGCCTGCAGCTTATAACGACGGAATCAGTTTTTTTCCTTAACTTTTTTATAGATTTATTTTTAATACAAATTTCGTTGTGTTTTTTGACGATTGTATATTTAGACATTATTTATGAAGACCTAGTGCAACTTTGGCCACACTGTTTTTTTTTTATAAAATATTAAAATTAATAATTTTTCGAGAGTTTTTTTGATAAATACTGTTGTATTAAGCTTCGAATATTATGCGCATAATATATTAACTAATTAGATATAGGGAGGAGCAGGTCTTACCAGAAATGTATTGGTTTGGAAAATCAGAGAACAATGGTAGCCGATTCATATTGAAGGAAGTCAGGGATTTTATAAAGTCGTAACGTATATGTTAAGCTAAGTAGTTAAGAGAAGAAGTTTTGTTTTGAGAAAAGATGCTTAGATGCTTCTAAATGTCGTGATAGTGGGAGAAAGGAAATTTGAAAAAGTATCAGTTTGATTATTAGAGAATAATATAGAGAGATATACAATGTTAGCAGTAATAGTTTCGGTTAAATTGCTGTATGTCTATTAAATAAATTAAATGTTGGTCAATGAGACAAATAAAGCGAATTTTTCCTTATTTGCGGGGTGAATATCGTGGGGTAGGGCAAATCCTATGAAAGTGGGTTATGACCGGCCCCACCAGAGAATATAATATAGGGATATATATATTAGTGGGCTTTGCATTTCTGCGCGCTCCACGCACCAATCCCCTACTTTTTAATTTAGTTAAAAAAAAAAATTCTTTCGGTATGTCTTTAAAAGTTAGAAAAATACAAAAATCTTTGTAAAGAAAATCAATGTTAAAATAGAAGTAGTATAAATTTAATAGCTACTTCAAATTCATGAGACAATTTTTTTTTAATGTCAATTGATCATAACTTTTTTTATTTTAAACACCAAAAATGACTTACTATATTCATATACCGACGCTCCAGATGAAGAATGTGCCCTGCTTCGAAGCCTGGACGAAGACTACCCGAGCAGAAACGAAAGTCGGTTGCCTCTGTAGTTTGTCAAGCCCTACTTAAGCAGCCTACACACGTAGGCGCATTAGGAGGCGTGTGTAAGGTACTCATTAGGTAGCTTACACAAGCTACCTTTATCTTGTTTCTCGAATTGTGAATACAGTTGTAACAGCAACAGTTGCAGTGTAAACTGTAGCGTAAAATTATACATATGGATGCAAATTACAAGTGTATTTTATTTAGTCCTATTTAAATAAATTATAAGTATATTTATACATATGAGACTGACAAAATCAATCGACGTTAAATTTGTTGTCCACTAAACAAAGTGTTTAAAAGTACTAAATTAGGAACAATAGTTGTTGCTTAAAAAAATTACAAACACTATTAAAAACCGTACTTAGATTATAAAATTTTCACATCCAACAATTTGTATACTGTCATTTAGATGTCCAACATCAAGTCAAGTTAATCTGTCATTCAATTGAGTCAATAAGTTTTGTGTCAAAAAAAAAAAAAAAATAAACTGCAGTGTGAGCACTCCATTTGTATCTATTACTTGGTTATTATTTAATAGTTCCTTATAGTTAACTTACGAATCATATATTTATATTGTTAACTTAATATCAATTGTGAATAATTGATATTTTAAAGCAGACATTTATATCTTCATTGATATAAAAATTTCATTTATCTTAGGATTATACTTTTGTAACTACACGTGATTCACAATGCCATGATGAAAAATTTTCATTAAGAAATTAAGTATAATTTGTTTGAAATAAAGCTTGACTTCTCTTTAATCAATACAATGTGTATTCTCATTTGTACATATCTATATTTATCAATTGAAAGGTGGCTTTGTTACGTCAATGGAAGCAGCCTACTTAGGGCCTACCAAACGCCCCCTGACGCTGCCAACGTAAGATCTTAGTAGGCTAGAGAGACAGCCTAAGTAGGCCCTACTTATCGCCTACTTATGATTTCTGTTCGGGTATGCCTTTTTCCTAAGTCCGGACGAAAGTTATGCCTTTTACTCTAATCCGAACGAAAACTATGCTCTTTAGGGATCTTGGAGGAAGCTTATTTCAGCGTACTAGTAACTGTTAGCCGCCAAAAGCATGAATCAGCAAATTTGGAGAGGTTTTTTTGTTTTAGGGAAAGTACAACACAATAGGGGTCAGTAAATAATATTTTGATGTTTTTTAACTTAGTTTTTATCCGGACGCGGACATTGTTTTAGCCCAGACTCAGAAAAAATGGCATAGTCTTTGTCTGGAACCAAAAAATAGACAAAGTTTTCGTCCAGACTAGAAAAAAAGCAAAGTTTTCGTCTGGGCTTGAGAAAAAGGGATAGTCTTCACCTGAGAGCCAGATTGTCTGCTGTCGCGCTCGCTTTCTTTTTATTGCTTTCATACGGGTAGGCCTTTTCCATTGCTTTTCTTAATATTTTGCGCTTGTAGAAAATAATGAACAGGATTATTTTAAAATATAAATATTCGACCATAATGCAAAGTTTTTCCGTGGTCTTCCAATTTTGTTTATTCAAACCCCATCTTAATCCATCTTTAGTAAAGAGACAACGAAATTTGCGCAAGTGCACAATTCTGCACAGGTATCTGAAAAGAGACAGAGAGACACAGAAAGTAATACATACAAATGTATTGTTAAACATGTATGTACCTATGTATAAGTAGGTAGTATAGATACTCTTTGCTAGGTATTATTGTTCTTTCTGATTCTCGTTGTTTATTTCTTAATAAACAAAAAAGAGACAATGTCATTTATCCGATAAAACAACTATTTTTATCATAGACAATTAAATACCACCGAGTTCAATAATATATTCTTTAATGTTTTCTATCTGTCAGGGGTTCCGAGACTCACACCTGGTTTTTGAATTAATTATTAAAATATAATGCCATGTTCTTATACATATTTATTAATACCATTAACAAACTTGTTGAAAATTTAGAAAAAAAAACCAGCACGACATAGCACTACCTGAATGGTGGTGTAACAATGTGCTAACAAATTTTACCGATAAAATAGTTATCACGTTCAATTAAGAAATCATGATAACGTGGAGTCAAGAAGATGTATAAAGTGGCTGAAGAGGGATTGAACAAATTTAGAACTTGATAGAGGTAAAATGAGAATTAAAACAATTGAACTTTGTCCAAAGAGTGGCTAATACGGCGCTGAGAAAGGCTAAGAAAAGGTACTGATAAACTGTGAGAGGAAGTTGAAATGTTTGCTAAGAAAATATGTTTGAAAATTGTAAAGGCGCTGTGGGGATTTTTTAAAGAGATTAAGGAGGCTTAAGGGGGGGGGGGTGCGTACAAAATTTAATTAAAAAAGGCATGAAAACTGTTAAAATATTACTTCACATAGAGGGGGACTAAGGCGCAGAGATTTTAACGATTGTGAGGGGCGGCTGAGAAGAGCTGCGGAGGATTTTAGAAAATTAAGAGGGGGGAAGGGGGAGCAAAAACTATTTGTATATTATATTATACTGCATCTTAAAGTGATACCTTACACTTAATATTCATAAGCGTCTGAGTTTTCAAAGCAACTCTTACATGTATCAATAGTTTTGAGGTATTGCAAAGTATTATGTAGCTGGGTATCTTTGAATGTGCGTAGTAAAGCTAGCAAGAGGCATAGTGGCCAAGCAGTTAAATAAAAATTAGTTACTTACCAACTATGCAAAAATACATAAAGTTATTTATAAACTAGAATGTTTAAAAACATTGAACATCCGTTTTTTCAGAAATACATTCCATTTTTCACGAGCTCTAGAATGTTTGAGTAATAATTTGTAAATCATCAACGAAACATCATTTGTCATAGTAAGCTACTTTACTAAATGGCCAATTTTTTATGCCACTGAAGTTTTTATCAAGGCATCATGAAATAAAAATATGAGGGTGTCATGCGTGAGCCCATCGTTCATTTATTACGAATTTGTTTAATTTAATCTTACTGACAATGCCGTACATGATTTACTAATTATTATTACTCTTCTAATAGTAAAGTCAGAAATACAAGTAAGTCAATAAGTTTCTGCGTTCTTATTTAGTCCGACCCAGTCTACTGTTTAAAAAAAAGCAATGTCAGCTGTAGAAAAAATATTACATGATTTTATGCAGATTTCAGTTTACGGGCATTTTTGGTAACATGTGAAGAAAACACTTGCTTGCAATCTAAAAACTTACTCAGACATGTACATTTTCCTGGTTATAGATAAATTAAATATGAAAAGAGTTTGTCAAATTAAAAAAGTTAAGCAAGTTTAAGAACTAAGAGCCCATCAAAAAACAAATAAAATTTCATTGACAAAAATCAAAACAGATGAACCTTTTATCGCTTTTTACTAATGAGTCTCAAACTTCATATAAAATTTATAATTAATAAGACAATATTTAGAGTCACAAATAATTGCATAGATGAATCAGATTGAAGTCACCCAGAAATCTTTCAACAATAATTTTTCTCTTTATAAAGCAATAACGTAGATCACGTCACATGATATGATGACAATTATCTTTTTTGTATATGTAATTTCTAAAAAGTACATACTACGAACAAGCGCTACAACAAGAAACTTTTGAAGTGTTGATTATAGCCTCATGAATGAAGGTCTAAGGTCTCTCAAGAAGGTGTTTGGCTGAATTTTAGATTTAATTACGTCATTGACCACGCTTATCATGATAAATAATAGTTAAAGTTCTCTTAACATTTAACTTCATTGAAAAGATATCGTTTTTTGATAAAATTTAGCACAAAACGCGTATTACTTGAAACCTAAAAGTCGTAGTAAAAAACGGTTTGCCAAAATCAAAAGAGTAAAAAAAATTTGGATGAGAATACATCTTTTGCTTGATTTTATTGAGTTCAAAATATTGAGAAAAACGCTTCAGATAACATTCATGCAAGTGTTCAAAAAAAAAATTTACAAAGAGGAGAGCAGTAGAAATTGAGAGGCCGCTTCATCTTCACCACGTTGCTGCTGCTTGGTGGGCTAGGTCATATTACAGAAAGAAGGACAAACAAGAGTGAGCAGGTATATGTGTGTATATCTTCCTATACTATGTAGTTATTTTGGTGGGCCTGTCCACGCCCCCCCTTCCCCCATCCATGGTCACCTCACAGCCTCCCACAGCTCCTTCACAAAACGTGGACAAATTGCTTATATTTATTGGTAAGTTTAAACCAACAAAAATGTATAAAACATCTCTACGCTCCCCACAACCCCTCGCAAATTTAGTGGCCAACCACATCCCCCCACCCACTATTCCCCACAGAAACTTAAAATAGTTCCAGAAAACGTTATAATATTCCTGTTTTCTGGCGCCTCCTATACACCCATGGCCCACTTCTTAGTCCCTTACAAAGTAAGAGAAAATTCTCTATGTTTCTTCGTGATTTTTATTGAACAATAAATGTGTAAAACACCTAACACCCCTCCTCCACACACTACATCGAATCTAAGGTATCTTTTTACAGACCCGCACAGCCCCTTACAAGAACTTAGAATTTTTTGTGGAAATTCGTTATAAAAGAGTACATATGGGTTAATTATCCCACCCCAAATCCCCTAACCCCCCACATCTTCTCCACGAAAATCTAAAATGTATAGTAAAGAAATTTTATCATAGGGTGAATATGGATTAGTTACTCCCACAGCCCCCCTACTTCCACATTAATTTTGAATTTTTGGTGAGATTAATGTATGATAGGGTCAAGAGAAGCTCATCTTCCAACCCGCTTTATCAAAAAGTAAGAAATTCTCTTAGATACTGTTATTTTTATACTTGTCTACACTCAACCTCCACTGTTCAATAACTTTAATTTGTGTTTCTTCCGTGTTATCAGTTCCTGTCCTAATCACAATAAATTTAATTATAAATAAAAATTTTTTTTAACAAAGGTAGCTTATGAGGTAGAAAGTCTCGAGGGTATTTTAAATTACATTAAGTTAAATCTTTCTATATTTTATACTTATTTTCGGTGGGTATGTCTACAGCCTCCCCCCCCCCTTCACTTTAAAAAAAAACGGATTATTCTACTGTTTTTGATACCCACCATAAAAAAAGGAGAAAA